GTATAAGAATGCTCTTTGCATTTAATTTAAAATGTATTCAATCAGTTTGTGCACTGTTGTTACCTGAAAACGAATTTAATACTGAAATAAGACTTTTTGGTATTAAGCATATTTTATCATCATGAATGTTATATTACTAAGTGTAAAAGTTCATATCAAGCTACTGAATTGTTAATATCTAAGAAAAATTCTTTTAGCAATAACACTAAACATTTTTCTGAAATTATATGCTTATGAAAAAATATATGACTCCAGATTATAAAATTTCAACGCAATTAGTACATTTATGGTACATTGGTCTATCGAAGTATATTGTACACTATTTCTGACTGTCAATATAAGTAGTATGTAATACCAATCAGAAGTGTAATGCATAGTAGCAGAAGACTAAGAAGATCAAGTTAAAGAAAACAGAAAATGAAATAGAAAGAAATTATGAATTGAAAAGAAGTATACAGAATATAGAGTATAATTGATAGAAGATTTTCAAATGAAATACTTCATGTATGGTTCTCATATTTTACCAAAATATTTTATTCATTACAGTAGTATATAATGAAGTTATGAAATTTTTTTAATTAACAAAACTACATTTTAAGTACTCGAATGCAAAAAGATAAATAAACGAGATATTTTTTATAGATAAATATATGGTCTATTATAGTCTTATATGGTTGAATATATATTTAACAACAAAAAAAAGTTATTTAATGAACTCATCAAATAATTTTCTTGAATAAAACTAATCTTGTCTATGATGTAAAATCAATTCATGATTTAATAATTAACTGTCTATTGTAATCATTCAATCGTCATTAGTTACGTGTGAATGATTAGTTAGTAGATTAAATTAAAGTATAATATAATTACAATAAGTAAATCAATCATTGTTAATATTATATCTAGTTATGTTTATAGTTGGTTCAATGAATAAATGGATAAATAGATAAGAAATTTTAAGCTTTTCTGATTTTCTTAATCAGTCATACATAAGATCATTACTTTTAAATTAAATAGATGTCTACAAATCACTCTACTAAACAATTATAAAGTTCTTTCATAAAGGTATGGTTAAATGGTGTTAGGTGAAGACAAAACAGATGAACATATTGAATTCTAACTCATAAGTTTGAAAATAATATATTCTTCATAAAAACTTGAAGCCCTTTTTTTTGAATTTGACAAGATGTGGAATTCCACATGTGTATTGTAATAATGTCGTAGCATGTGATGAAACATCGGTTTACTTTCCGCTTGTACTTAATAAACATTAGCTAGTATTAGAAAAAGAATACTTTCAATATAAACTGATTTGCACAAATTCTCACAAAAAAAGATTGTTATTTTCACTGAACTATAATTTCTCCATAGTAAACTCATGAATATCAGTCAATTCAAACTTATTGATTTTCCTTAGAAGACAAAGAAAGTCCTAGTTTTTCATCACATGTATATTATACTACTGAAAGCTTATTAATTAAAGACTACTTTACTCTTCACATTATCTTGTAGTAAAATTTTAAGATATCACATTTAAAATTTTTTTCCGTTTTATTCTTTTATTTTCTAAATTATTTTGATTATAATGAGGAAAGATGGATAGTGGCTAGCAGAGGAATCCAGGATGCGCGTTTCGTCCTATTTGGGATTCGTCAGCTGGATATACTTGAATCTGAGTTGATGTTCACTCTGGGACTCGAAACCAGTACCATTCGATTCAAACGCCATCGCGTTATATACTTAACTACTGAGTCCTAACAGCCACATGCTTGTGCAATGGGGTGGAGTTATATTCAATATGTGTTGTTTACTCGCATCTTCTCATTGTTATTTAGGACTGAAATTGATCAGTCTCTTGTTAGCATATGTGTATCCTGTGCGGACTGTCTCGATATTGCCTGCTGGATGCCACCACTATCCATTTTTGCTTATAAAGCTTGAGACTTCAGGCAATATCGAGGCAGTCCGGATAGGGTGCACATATGCCAGTAAGACTGATCAATTGCAGTCCTAAATAACAATGAAAAGATACAAGTAGACAACATCAAGTGAATATTTTGATTACTGTTTCTCCATTTAGAACCTTAGCACTTTTTTGATACAATATAACTGTTTTTAAGAGTTAATCATAATGAAAACCCAATAGAAATCATAGAAGAATAGAAGAAAGGTAAAAAACAGGTAGAATGGAAGAAGATTCAAAAAATCTGTCCAAGTTTCTGTTTACATTCACTAATAAAATATAAAGGAAAAGAATTAAACGCTTTAACTTTTCTGATTGACTAGTTAATAGATAATAACAGTCTATGGAAAACTAATTTGTTCATAGACTGATATTTAAGCATGTACGTATGAATATCTCCGATAAATAAAAATATATGTAATGTACCTTTTATTCACAATAACATTTTGTGACAATGGACCACAGAAAAATAATAAACGGAATACACCCATTATGACATTAAATAAGAAAGAAAGATTAGTTCAGCGAAGAGTTCTCTTTTCGGCGAATTCATTTTCGAAGCTGTACAATCGCAAATATATATACTTATTTTTACAGGGTGATAATAATACTGATAATAAACTTCTGTTATACATGGTGACAGTGAGGTTAAATAAACAAAGGTATTAGAAAAATTTTTAAAACAAGGAAAGTTTGATAGTTAATGGCTTAAGTATTCATCGGGTAAGGATGCCTCAGCATGATAAAATAACATAAAATGTTGAAACAGAGATGAAATGTAATCGGAATGATCGTGGAAATAAAAACAAACCGGTTTGGGGTAAAAGATTTGAAGGGAAGATGGAAGGTGAAGCAGGTGGCTGTAAAAGAACAAGAGTATGAAGAAAGAGAAAAAAATTTCTTAAATACATTAAGACCATGGTAAAAGAAGAGGTTGTACCAGTCTCTTTTGTACACATAATTCTGGTTTTTCAAAATGTATGGCTATTGCCTCGGCAATGCAAAGAAGATGCAGTCTAATTGTCTTAGGAAGGCTTCTACTTACCTTGTAGATGACTTTGAACGCAGAGTCTGTCTTGATTGAGTGACCTGTGTTCGCAGGGTGTTCGATTATAGAACTTCTTATTGAGCCGTTGCCTCCTCTTCTTAGCCACCTGCTTCACCTTCCATCTTCCCTTCAAATCTTTTACCCCAAACCGGTTTGTTTTTATTTCCACGATCATTCCGATTACATTTCATCTCTGTTTCAACATTTTATGTTATTTTATCATGCTGAGGCATCCTTACCCGATGAATACTTAAGCCATTAACTATCAAACTTTCCTTGTTTTAAAAATTTTTCTAATACCTTTGTTTATTTAACCTCACTGTCACCATGTATAACAGAAGTTTATTATCAGTATTATTATCACCCTGTAAAAATAAGTATATATATTTGCGATTGTACAGCTTCGAAAATGAATTCGCCGAAAAGAGAACTCTTCGCTGAACTAATCTTTCTTCCATAGAAAAATAAAACAAATACCTTGAGTAAAATCATATTATTTTTGTATATCGCGAGGCGGGATCGTGGATGCGCACTTCTGAGGAGTCCCACAATAGGACGAAACGGCCGTCCAGTGCTTCCAGGTTTTTCATAGTGGTCCAACTTCAATTGACTCATGATGTCAACTATTAAAATTACTTTGGTATCCACAAAACACCTTCTGATGTAAAAAAAAATGTTTGTTTAATTCGTGATGAATATTTTTAGGTTGAATTAAGTGTAGATTAACTGTTTCATAGTAATCTTTGATAACTTTTATGAGGTTTGATAATCTTCATTGAAATTAAGTGACTTTATGTTTTAACAACAAACTATGTTTTGACACGATAAGTTTAGTTACATCAGTTCCATAGAATAACAATGCTATGCGAATCTCTCCGTGTATTAAATCATACGAAATAAGTAACTTTAGTTCAAATGTAATATCATACGTTTGTACGGTTCTGTTACTTCTCTACATGTCTGATTCAATTATCCTAACATTATTTAAAATCATTTTCACATGTTCCTGTAAAATATAACGAATATGGTACTTTTTGTCTTATGTATTTTTTCATTAATATTCGCTTGTAATGTCTACATTAGGCAAATCATTGATTTTCTATCACTAGCCTTTTCTTGATCTATAGTCGCATCAAAATATCAGACGTCAGTAGCATAAAATCCTGAAAAATACTAATGAGACATCCTAATTAAAAGAATATTTTTGTTGTCTATAGTAATTCCTTGCTAATTCAACTACATTTCTTCCTTTAAAAGATGGCGTTATATCATTTTTCGGCATCTAAGAAAATAACCAATATTGATTTTTGTGCAGTTGTTAAAATTATCGGACTGAGCATCGATAGGAGTAAAACTACACTGAGATCATGAAATGACAATCGCATACAAAACCTGGTTATTTATTCTTACCTATAAATTATAGAAACCTAATTTGAGCGAGATAAATTGTATAAAATACAATGGCTACCCACCATACGCAAACGTGTACTGCACAAATGTTTAGCATTTGTATTCCATATACCCAATAGATGGCCAACAGAGACTTCTAGCAAATGACTGTTTCAATACATTTAGTACGTTTATAAATTAGAAAATATAAATCCCCACTAATTCTATTCCCAGGTAAATGAAAATAGTGCTACATCCCTAGTAATAGAACGTCTGCCAAAAAAACAAGCTGTTTATATTTGTTACTAGTATGTTGCTGAATGATATCACACCGTTTATTTATTCAAGTAAAATGTTTTTTCGTTGAATTTTTATGATAGATAAACTGTATTTTAACCCAATTCAGGCAACCATTAAAAAGGTTTCCTTGCTTTAAATCAAACGCAGGAAGCATAATATGATAGGAAACTAAACAAACTGCCGTAACATTATCATAACTAAGTTGTGTTTACTCAATAAAAATCTGGATAACATAGTTTGCAATCACCAATCAACTTCAATATTTTATTTTAATTTTACTGTGGATGTTTTGTTTTAAAGTTCCATCTGAAGCACCACAACTTGTACAAATAACCAATGAAGGTAAAGGTCAACGAATAGATATTGGTCCGTCACGGCCTGCAATTGTTGATGATGGAAGTATTATGGTTCTTGAATGTATTGCTCGTCATGGTAAACCGGGAGCATTGCTTACATGGTTTATTGACGGTGTTCAAGTAAAATTAGAATCGAATCCTGACAGTACACCTGGATCATTTATTTCTGGTTTCTCTGGTAACTTAACATTTCAACTTGAATCATCTGCTAAAATACCAAGACTGTGAGTTTACTATATTCTTACGTTGATATTTATTTTTAACTCATAAACAATATATTGATATTTTTCATCTATTTAATGGCTCTTTCATATCGTATGAGTTTTCTTCAATAATTTATCAGTAAATAAATACGTTAGTCTACTAAAGATAAAAACCTTAGGCTAACTAGCCTGTTATACGGTAATTATTGATTAAACAGCTTTGCACCATTTCATGCAATTAGTTCCCCTTATGAATCTAAAAAAGGCAGAAGAAACATGGATGTAGAATAATATGAATTCATTATATTTTGTGGTTTCTCATCAGCTGCTTACAACCAAATACGTGCTAAAATTTTACAGTTAGGTCAAATATAGTGAGACGATTTATATAAGTGAATGCAAAGAGTTGGAATGACAAAGGTTATCAATAATAACTACATATGGTGCAAGAAAAGGTTGGAAGTCATTTGATGTAATAATAAAAAACATAAGGAATGGGTGATGTAATGAGTAAGTGAAGTTCAGAGACAGAGAAGATAAATTGTGTGATAATTTTAAAAGTACTGAAGGGCTTACACAAGATTCCTGGAATAAGAAGAAGGTTAAGATGGGTTGCGTAATAACTCAACAGGATTTGAAGAGTTTACATAATTTAAGAGAATTAAGTGAATGAAAATGTATGAGTGGAGGAAAGCGTTTAATGTACGGAAAATAAGAATTCGGTAATGGAAGAGCAATATAACAAAATAAAACTAATGACTCAAAAATGAATTACTAGGGTAGTAATAAGTTTATTACTATTTGATTTTGGATACATGGATCAGGTTTATGTTTTTTTATAGCAATTACTACAGCAAACCTAAGAGAAGCAGTGTTTCTTTGTCTACTAATAATTTTGAAAGCTTGAGGGATGTCAATGATATGCCCGGTGTCGAGTATCGTGATGAGAACCTTAAATCTAATTCCAAACCCTAACATTCAACTGTCAATCTTAATCCTAATTCCTCACACTAATATATAACTCTCATTTAACCCTGATAACCAGGTAGATATTCCAAGGTCACTTTAGCGTTGCTCAAAAGTCATCCATAAATTATAATCTTACCACAAGAGGTTATTATAAATTCCTTTCGTATACAGAAATTGTGTAACTTGAACTCTTAAAGTCTATCACATTATGTATAGCATAGTTCAATTGTATTATTATATTAGATGATTGGAAATAGGAATCCTCAGATACATAAAATGAATAAATCGTAAATTTAGTCAAACTGATGATTTATTTTTCTCGCAAAGCCACAAATAATCGATATCAGAAAACAAATTCTCCATATTTTTCAGCTTATAAATTATCCACTAAGCATATCTCAAATTGAAAAAAAGAACGAGCTATATGATTTGTGTTGTACACCATTTTATGTAAACCTTTACACTGTTTTCTTTTAAATTTAAAAGGGAATACATATTACACTTATTGTAATTTGATTTTGTCATTTCATACAGCTTAATAGTTAAATAAGAAAAGAAAAAAAGAAATTTATATTTATATATTGTAAAAATAAGGATTCAAAGTAAATGGTTTGAAACCATAATTATAATAACCATAATAAATACGTTTCAATCTTAACACTATTTAGTCGTTTATTTTGAATTGCATTACTTTTATTATGATTCACGATCCCCCTTTTTTCAGTATCTATGTAAATTTTACTATGTAATGTATTTCAAACATTTTGTTTTTCTTAATTGTGTTGAGTCTTGAAATTTCAAGCTGTTTGTACAGAATGAGAAGTTTTCAAATAGAATTTTATTCTACGAATATCATTGATCTTAGTTAGTGTAAATCTTGTTTTTGTTTTCTAAAATGTATTGATACTTCTTTTTCATCGCCTATTATATCTTCTTTACTTGTTATAGGCATAGTTTTACAATAAGTTTTAGTTCTATATAATGATCTAATGGATAAATAGATGGTTAAATGTTTAAATAGATAAATATATAAAACGACACTTAAATTAGTAAATATGGTGTCTAGATTGTATTCAATATCATTAATTAATGTTGATTAATTGTTAGCACTGTCTGTTATAATTGATCAATATTAATTTTATAATTAGTATGTATCTTATAAACAGACAAATACACGTGGACAACGTGTAAAAAGGCCATGTTCTAAATTATGGTTGAAATTAAGTTTTGATCATATTATTTATAGTTTAATAAAAATTAAGTAAAACTATAGTGTTTCATTTTTATCACCATTACATTATAAACATTTTCTCTGTGTTTTTTTAAATCCTGATATCTATTTTAATTACATTTTCCATGTAAATAATAAAACACTAAAAGATTTGAACTATGGTTAGTAGTGAAATCCAGGAAATGTTTGTCTCGTCTTCTTTGGGACTTGTTAGCTGAATACTATTTCAATCTCAGCTAATTCGTCATATAACGTGATCCTTAGACGGTGTCGTTATCACCGGTCATAATATCTCATTAGAATATTTAGAGATTCTTTGAAAAAAACCAGTTACTAGAGTGAACAAAATTCTTTTTTGATACATGAAATGAAAGTATACTTTATTATTTCTCGCTATGATTTTGTATTTGTGTTTATTAAACGTCTAAGTAGTTTAAATAAACATATTAGTAAATATTTGATTCGACCAGTTATGCTGTTTTATCAGTGTTTTAAAATAAGATAGAAGAATAATTGTGAATAAGTGTCATGTCAAATAAAAGTATTGTGATAGATCCAGAACAATGTCTACAATATATTGTATAATATTTGTTTAACTTTTCTACTCAGCATTCATTGATCCACCAGCTAATCGACGACTGTCATGAATTTTCAATAAATAACTATATATATATGCAACTACATTTATTATACATTGTAAACTGTCTTGTTTACAAACTATTCCTGTATGACATTTCATTATCCTTCAATTCTGAGAAATAAGCTGTGAAAAAATTTACCTTTCAAGAGGAAATACATAGACATCCTGGAAACAGTGGTTTTTAAACCATTGTTTCGGCTTAATTCAGAATTACAAGCTAGATGACTATGTAGAATTAACAGAATATTTTTCAGAGAAATCCCTATTATAATTTGACGCAAGGTGTTTCTTCGAAGTAATATCAAGTTCTACTTGAATTTTACTAATTCTTCAGTTGACGTCAATTACTAATGAACATTTCCTTTAAACAGTTTATTCTTTTAATATAAGAATCCAATTCTTACTACATAGACAGTTATTCATTCCGTATATTTAATTTTGTACTTATTTTATATATCCTTATAGTATATATATATATATATATATATATATATATATATATATATATATATATATATATATATATATATATATATATGCCTAGCATTTGCAAAGAGCTGCTAATGAATCGATTGGATGGCATTTTGTAACTGTAATAAATTATGGAATTTTTATTTTTACCTAAGTGTATATATGTGCATTTACTCACATAAATTAATTAATATTATAATGTCTATAACAGCTGCTGTAACGTTTTGTGAATAGAATTTAGCTAAAATGATGGGAAAACAAAGAAAGAAGTAAATCATAGTAATTCTCAGTATCTTTAGTATCTAATTCACTCATAAATTAGATTAATAAAACCGGTTAGACTAATGATGTTTCATATTTTCACACTAATATTTAACTATCTATCCATAGTGATAGATAAATGACTTAGATACCATCAAATAGGTTACCATTCATATATATATAACAGGAAAAAAGCAATTCTTGAATATAACCTTAAACTTAATTAACTTTTCGTTACTTCTAATACGTTGAAACAAACTTCATTCAAATAATTATACCTATAAATCAATCACTATTGTAAACCAATGATAAAGTAACTATTCCCTTCATTGTACATTCAGATAAAATTGAATTACAGTTATAAAAGTTAGTAATAGATGTGTGTTTTTCTATATTGTAGTTGCTTGTTTTATTTCTGTTCATATATGTTCCATTTTACTACCTTTCATAATAAAATAAGAAACCTTTAGAAGCTTAAATATCTATGTAGAAGGTGTATAATAGGATTTTATAACAATCAACTTCAATATGATTTGAAACTCATACAAAAATGATTTCGTTAGTCTTTGCATTCATACCTATTGTGAAGTTACACCTAAATTACAATTTTTCAGATATCATAATAATGATCAATTACTGAGTAGAAATTCAGTCGTTATCATTTTTTTTTCGATTTTTTATCCATTCCCAGTATAGTGAGACCATATTTAGATGGAAGAATGTATTTGTAAAATCTCAAAGAATAAATTTGAAGTAAATCTAATGTTTCTCTTGACAATCTGGTTCAATCTGTTTCTAGGAAATATGATCATACATCAAGATTATAATTCCTTCATAAAGTTTGGACCAGATTGCTAGGAGAAACGCTGGATTTACTTTAAATTCATTCTTTGAGATTCTACAAATACATTCTTCCTCCGTTATATCTCATATGAACTCGGAGTCCGAATACTGTGAAATTACTTGATCAAGTCTAAACGAAAGTTCTTATACTATAATACTATTTGTTGAATTAATCAAGTGAAAACTATCTAACTGTCAATTTAATGAACACTTTAGATTATTAGATATATTATATAAAACAATTTTAAGAAACGTTGATTTTTGAAAAAAACTGAAAATTAAAACTTCGCCAATTCACTTATAACCTGATACATAACTTCAGAAGCACATTAGTTGATAATAATATGAATATAGGAAGAGCAAACATCATCCAATTCATCCCTCTATATTTCAGTCGATCAGTATCATTCAATATCATAGATTTGAAACGGATGAAGCGATGTTGGTAAGCCTGAAAATATAGCATTATTTTAAATAGGTACTAATGAAATTTCGACTGGCGAACACGGTGATGAGAACGTTTTTGTACTATTGAAATTTTTGATATTTTTCAACCGTGTACAACCAACATATTTTTTCAGTGCAATTTAGAATTTATAAATTTCT